ACTATGTATACCGCTTAAACGACAAAGGGTTTTTCAAACACGATCGCTTAATCGACCAAGACAAAAAGACAACAATCGCTTAAGCGATATCTCGGATCGCTTAAGTGATCATGCACCTGGGCAGATTTGATTCTGCCAATCACATGATTGCTTAAGCGATCCACGATCGCTTAATCGACCAAGTGAAAAAGAAAAGAATCGCGTAAGTGATATCTACGATCGCTTAAGCGACCTAGTGTAAACAAAGTTCCTTTTAGTACGATCACTTAATCGAGCAATGAAAAATTTTAAAATTTAACAAATACACCCCCACCTACCCAACTTCCCAGATTCCGACCACCACCGTCGGAATCCTATCGGGAAAAGGCGTTACAACGCATAGCAGTCAGATCAGGTTGATAGGGCGTCGATATGGCCTTTTCCGACCAGATCGACCACGGATGTGGCCGGAAAAGGCCAGATCACTGCCAGATCTGGCCGTCGACGGACGGAAAAGTTGACATCTAGCCATCTGTGATGGCCAAATATATGGCCGTCGTTGACTATCAACGTCGACCATTTCTTTGAAAGTCAATGACGGCTAGATATCTGGCGGGAAAAGGCCATATCTGTGAATTATCGGCCACTTCCGATCGTTTGTAGCCGTCATGGTGCCAGAATCTGGGAAGTTGGGTGGGTGGAGGTGTTTTTGTTACTTTTTAAACTTTTTAAGGCGGTATTAATGAAATTAATTCAGTTAATGGGTCTAAAATTTATTAAAAAAATACTAACATTTCCTAAATAATAAAACAAAGAAATATTTTGGGAATAGGATTTGTAATATTTATGGGAATATTCAACCAAACGCATCCTTTATGTTCTGAACAAAGAAGAAGAACATATGTTCACTAAGATTCCATGGTTACCTTTGAAATATAATAATGGTCATGGTCCACTGAACGAATCGTAAACCCCATATGTTTTGCATAGACGTAAACATTCTACACCTTATATGTTTTATATTGACATAAAAGAACTATATGTTTAATATAAATATAATAACGGTCATAGTCCACCGAACGAATCATAAACCCTATATGTTTAGCATAGACGTAAACAGTCTACACCTTACATGTTTCATACTGATGTTAAAGAACTATATGTTTAATATAAATATAATAACGGTCATAGTCCACTGAACACCTTTGCAAACCCTATATGTTTAGCATAGCGTTAATCGGTAACTGATGCTCTGAAATACAATAAATAATATCCGAATACATAGGATCACTTAAGCGATCCTCTTTATTTACACAGTCGGTTAAGAGATCCGTCTGTATCGCTTAAGTGATTCTTTGCTTTTACTCTGGTCGATTAAGCGATCCGTCTGTATCACTTAAGTGATTTTTTGCTTTTACTCTTGGTCGCTTAAGCGATCTTGTCCGAGGCAGAATGAATATCTGCCCAGATCTATGATCGCTTAAGCGATCTTATGTATCGCTTAAGCGATTCTTCCTAAACGAGTCTCTGTCGCTTAAGTGATTTGGGATCACTTAAGCGATCTTGGCCAAGGTAGAATGAACATCTGCCCAGATGGGTAATCACTTAAGCGATCTTATGTATCACTTAAACGATGCTTCGTAATAGACTCTTGGTCGCTTAAGCGATTTGAGATCGCTTAAGCGATCATATCTGGAAAAGTCTTGGTCGTTTAAGAGATATATGTGGTCGGTCATATACGTAATTGTTTGGTACCATGCCATTCTTTAAGTTAATTAATTTCGAAATGATTGTGATTGGGAAATATTTGTACAAATTCATCACAAATCAAAATATAAGAGACATCAATGTAACCTGTTTATCGAAACACAAAATAAAACATAGGCATGGGATGCGGCAAATATCAAAATATATGGACAAACTAACCATTAGCCCCAACTGTGGTGAATCAAATAATCACACCAGTACATCACAAGTTGTAGTGATACACAAAATGAAACAAAACGCTAAAAAACCATTATCCAACTTGGGTGAAGCAAACCATCACACCATACATAGTAAATTCAAACTGCTAATGAGATATCTTATATGGACAAAAAAAATTATCTCCCAAATGTCAGATCCAATTCTTTACAATGATTCTGCAGGCACAAGGCTTTTGGCTGCCGCAAGAAGAGCCACGGCACAAGAATTTCCTATACACTGCCTTTAATTTACTTTTTGATGCCAAAGAGTTTAATATCACTAACACCTTTGCACAATCCCTTTATTGCAGATGCCTCCTCCTGCTAACCAGCCTTTGAGAAGTTTTCAAATTCTGTTGCCAGCAACCTTTCTGAGATCATTGTTTGGTACCATGCCTTCCCAGCAGCCTTTATTACAGATGCCTCCTCTTGCCAACCAGCCTTTGAGAAGTTTCCTCTCATTATTTGCTAGGAACTTGCAAAATTATCCGACACGTCAACTTTTGTAAATAAAAAAAACACGTAAAAAAGTTACAGAGTGGGTAGGTGAGAAGTTCACTCAGTCCGTGTCTTTCGGTAAAGCTCCATATAAGCATGACACCTACAACATCAGCACCACAACCCAAGTGTCAACATCAGCATCACACAAACTACAAAATTCAAAGTCCAACTTTCATACCTTTTTATTGGGTTCTGCTTACTCAAAACGGATCCATCTTCCCATGGAAGCAGTCGACAGCCTAGCCCTCCTGACAGTCTCTCATTGTTTCGTCATTCAACCTGTCCATCGGGGTGTTGGTCATGTCGAACTCAATAAATTTCAGGGCATATGCCCCACTTTCAGCACTACAATAGGAAGAAGACATTAGCATTAGAATAAACGTATAGAACAATTGTATTATTAAGTTAGTTTTATACAAAATTTACCTTGACTCATTTATTGGGCTGGTAGAGTGCTTAATTGGCCACTTTTCGGTTAGTAATTGATCACCCAAGTGCCCAAACATCTCGTTGTCACGCAACAGCCGCGGGAACAACCTGGACAGTGGCTCCAACTCGACCTCTAACTACTTGTTTTGACAAAAAGTGGGGTTGCAGTCAAGGATCTTCAGCAACCCCTCCTCTAGATGCGTAACAACTGCTATCCAGTGCATCTCTTTGACGAGGATGATGCAGTACACTCTTTTAACAAAGGCCCAACCGTGGCCATATTTGGGCCGATCCCCCGTATATACTGCATAATTCTATCATCAAAATGAAAATCATCAGGGATGCAGTCCAACTGTATTGGGGCCATGCAGTCCAACTGTATTGGGGCCAATCTTTTTCACTTCGGTCCTTTTGCTGCACCACTAGCAATGACATTTTTAATTAAAGTGCGATATGCCAAAACAAGCGTTTGGCCAAACGCCACATCGATGATGGCATAGTCAGGATACAACAAATCACCATCAGTAGTCTGTTGTAGCCTTATCAGTGCCAATATCTCATCGATGTGCTATATCAAATAAAAACAACAAGATAAGCATGGAAAACATAGGCAAAAATAAGGAAAATTAATCGAAAATAACTCACCGAGTCCTCAAGCCATGTGCCTATTGTCAACAACTTCTCAAACCATTCCCGGGGATAATCCCCTGTCTTACACTTTATATGGTCATTACTTCCTAATCCATTGTAATAGGCATAAAAGAGTTTTTTCTTTTCCTTTATTGGCCTCTACAAATCGACATTTGAGTCCAATTTCCCTTGCCCACTTCCTCCCCTTTCCTCCATTTTTACATCCCCGCTTCCTTCGCCTCCCACCTCGCCCTCCTCCATTATCACCACCCCACTGCCTCCACCAACCTCCTCAATGTCCTCCATTTCTAGTTCTTCCTCCATTTGTTTCTTAATTTTCTTTTTCTTTACCTGTGTCACTACCATGTAAGGCAATTTCACAAACTTGCTCTTTCAGCTCTCTCTTTTCAAGCCAATTTGCACTTCAACCACCTTTAATTCTCCACCAACTTTCTCTTCCATTGTACCAACTTTCGCCTCCACTGTACCAACTTTCTCTCCCAGCTTATCCACTTTCTCCTCCACCCTTTTCATGCACTCTTCCATCTTGTCAAACCTTGCATAAACGGCTGTTGTAAAACTCTAAAAAAGGAAGTTTATGAGGTAAAAAACCTAATTCTCCAAACGACGATGTCTCGCCAAAGCGGTACTTGTTGAACCGGTTTGCTAAGGCATACGAACCTCTTCCTCCATCTTCCTCCCTCTTCTCCTCCTCATCCTCGGGCCTCCCGCCCATTAGAGCTTCATAATCCTCAGCATTGATGACGTTGTCAAGCAATGGCCCTGCAACTGCCGTCACATGCGTGACCCCTTTTAGGTCCCGCATCAGGCGGTCTATCTGTTCATCCCTTTCATCCTCCATTGCTTTGAAAGATGTGACATAGTCCTCTTTTGCTTTATCCCCAATAGCGGTGAGAAAGGGACGGACAACTCCCTGCAATAAGAAACAAAATCAATCAGATTGAAGCAAAATAAAAAAGCAACTGCATATTCAAAAGCTTAATCCTTTAATCTTACCCCAGCCGCTTGAATCTCAATCTCTATTTGGCCGTAATCCGAATGGTTACACTTCCCGACATGCCACTGCAACATCCTAGGAAATTGCTGTTGCACATCCAAACTATTGCTTCTCTCCCCCCCCCCCCCCCCCCTCGCCTTAGCGAAGACAGGGATGGCCTCGTACATCCAAGCCTACATTGTAAAAAAACAGTCCATGTCATTATTCAAACACACATATTATAAAAAATATAACAGAGAACTATTAATATTTACCTGCATTGCCCATGGGAAGCCAAACAAATTATACGTGCTTGGTTTAGCCTTCCCGCCCCATTCAGCATGCTTTAACGCCATGTCTGGTTTTTTCAGGCTCTTGATGGTTCGCTCAAATGATATCCATCCCCACGGATAAGAATTAAAGAACTCCAAGTCGCTTGCAAACAATAACCAATCTTTCTCAATAGCTTTTGTTGAGTCACCAGCCAATAAGATAGAATGTTAAAACAATAGCAAGCACACTTTTACCTTCTCTCCATCATTAAACCGAACTGTTTTTAGCCTCTCCTCTAAAACGTGTCCTATAATAGACTTTGCACCCTACAAAACCTTATTACACAACCTTATAGCTCCCGGACTCATCCTTATTGTGTCTGCCTCCGCCTTATTTGGCACTTCCCTACATCCTAGCCCGTCACCACGGCATACTCCATCATCCCAAACCATAGTGGCTTTTCGTCCACCAAGAACCACATTTCATTTTTTTTGTTGCATTTTATTGAGTGCATCAACATGTAATGCACTCCTTGCCCCCAAAATGCCTTTTTCCAATTTGTTCTGATTCTTAAAAACTGATCGAAACAAGTACGACCGAAATCTCTTTCACCACCCGTCATTCCAGCTAAAATTGCCCTTATTCTATCAAAAACATCCCAACTCGACCTCACCGTCACCCTTGCAGGGAAGTAGGGTACCTTCTCACTTATAGGCTCTAACTCATAGTCTCTATAGTTTACGGTCCGCACAATCTGCACAATCGATATAAACAAAATGTCAGCAACAAAAGTAAACCAAAACAACTAATAAACAAAATATCAGCAACAAAAAATTACCACTGTAGTCGCTTAAGCGATTTCGGATCGCTTAAGAGATCTTGACTCTGCCTCGTGCAAGATCGCTTAAGCGATCTGAAATCGCTTAAGCGACCAAGAGTAAACACTCATGATCGCTTAAGCGATCATGAGTGCGATCATGAGTAAAACAGATTAATCGCTTAAGCGATACAAATGATCGCTTAAGTGACAGTACAAGCAATATTCCCAAACAACGTACCCTTTCTTCGCCGGCCTCCTCCTCGTCACCTGAATCCTCGGACGACTCCTCCTGGCCTGAATTCTCGCCAGAATCCTCCTCCTGGCTAGAATCCTCCTCGTCTTCAGAATCGTTTGCAGGTTCTTCCCTCTGTTCTTGTGCCGCCGGCGTCTCCTCTGTGTGTGGACTACCTTCACTAATCGGATGATCCACCGGAGCAGCCATTGAACTGCTTGTACCACCGAAATCTAGGATTCGAAGTGGTGTTGGGTTTTCCTCCTCATTGTGAGTGTCAGCCATGGTTTTGGATTGAATTTGGTGTCAAAGTTTGTAGATCGGAAATGTGGACTATATTGCCGAAAATCGCACAGATTTCATTTAGGGTTAAGGAAATTGATTTTAGGGTTCAACAAATAGATCGAAAATCATGACTCTATCGCCAAAAATTGCGATTGTATTCGGTTTAGGGTTCAAGAAATTGATTTAGGGTACAAATTTGCAGGTGTTCGATTGGAAAAAATCACATCTCCCTTTGGTTGAAGATATCTCTTTTTGCCCTAATGAATTTCGATTAAGCGAGGTGAATAGTGGGGCTTGTTTTGGGAAATTTCAAATTTTAAAAACTTTCATTATTTCTGATTCGGCCCACATATGTTTTAATCTTTTCATTTTAACCCATTTTACGTGTTTAATTAATCCTAACTATGCCACGTCATCTTCTTTAAATTAAAAAAAAATGAAAAACAGTTTTAAGGCCATTTTCTTAAATCGAAACTTGGGATGGCCAGGCAGCTAAATTTTCTCCCCAAAAGGTGTTGTTATTGTTATATTATTATTATTATTATTATTATTATTATTATTATTCTTTATTCTCCATTTCTACTAATAGCTCTTTAGCTATAAAATTAAATTAAAACATTCTATGATCGAACTTTAGTTTTGATTAATTCTTTGTTTAATTTTCTTATTTCGTGTAAATAATTTGAAATTGTTCAATTGAGAACTCTTACCGACTTCATATCAGTAGTTGAATTTCTAATTTCTTAAGGTTGTTTTACGGAGCATATTAGAAATGAATATGTTTGAATTTTGAGTAGTGTATAGATGTTTTATGGGCTTATGTTGTGCAATTAGGTTGAGTTTTATGTAGAATGAGTGGTAGAGTTTTAAGTTTGATAAGTAAATTGAACTATAAATTTTAGGAAGAGAAATTGGGTGGGATTTTATGAATATATGTTCTACATTTTAACAGTATAATCAGCAATTAGAGTAAAGTTTGTTGTTTGTTGTTTGTGTTATGAATTTTATGATGTTAACATCAGCCTCTTAAAATTATAAGTTTGTTGTTTGTGTTCTGATGTTAACATCAGCCTCTTAAAATTATTTTTCTTTTTCAAATAAGTGAAGGCTCATTACATTAGTTTTTCGGGTGTAGGTTACTCTTCATGTTTTTTATGATTAACACAATAAATTATGTGGATCGTGGTGCGATAGCAAGCAATGGTGTCAATGGGAGTCTCGGGACGTGTGATGACAAAGGAATATGCACTTCCGGTAGTGGGATTCAGTTAAGAGTTACTTCTGGTTTTTATTATGTATTGTAGTAATTGTTTGCTTCGTATCCCTTTTGAAGGTAATATTGGAAATCCCATCTTGAAAGCATGTTTAGTGTTGATAAATCCTTGTATCACATTTATCCCATATGGTAAGTTTTCATCTAAACTGAATTTTAAAGCAACTAGTAGGTTTTGCATTCAAAATTCGTTAGTAATGTCACGGGAGAAGATTGTATCAGCTATTCTAGTTTTTCTTACAGAGTGCCATACCATATTTATTTGTCATTTCAAAATGTTTTTGCTATGTGTCCATATCAATTATATATTTGCAATAACACCTGTTTAGCACCAGGGAGTTATGACCATAAGACAAGGTTGGCAGTCTGCCCACAAATAGAGCCCATAAAGCATATACCTACTCTTATATTATAGCCTTTTGGTGTATGCTTATCTTTATTTGAAGTGCACCACCAATCTTATTGTATTGATTGATGGATTGCCTTTTTGACCTTTAATCTTTTGGCTAGTGGTTACTTTATTTTTTATTGTCTTACCATATGATGGTCTTACAGGGGTTATTTTAACTTAAATAACTTCCAAGATGGTGTACTATTGTCTGCTTTTACGGTTAGACTGCTTGTGGCTTCTCCAATATTTGCTTCCTTGGCAAAGAGGTGAACATCTTCAGTAATTAACATAATTCATCTGGGTGTACTTTATGAAGCATTTGCAGTTGTGTCATTTTGAGAAGGGAAAGGCAAGTGTTTGGGGTTGGAAAATGAGAAGAGGGTAACGATGGAAGAATAGAAAGTAAAAGACATGTGATGCTATGAATAGGCTACTAATAGTTGAAAGGAATTCTCTCTTCCCTTGTTTCCATCTGCTATCATAATTATTGAACTTCAATTAAAAAGCTATAATAACCAAGATGTCAAAGGTATGTTCCTAACTCAAAATAGTCCTTTAGATGTTAATTTTATGTTAAAAAGCATAAAATCGAACTAAGGGCAAAATAGTCGATTCATTTGGAAAGGTGTAATATCCCACTTGAGGTACGTATTTAAGATTTGCTGTATTAGTTAAAAGTTTACTGTTTCAGCTTCAATTGAGTTTATTTGTTCATGTATGTTGAGTTGGTTGATTGGTTACCTTGAAATTGGTTGAATTTTGGTGAAGTTTGGAAATCCAATCTTCGCCGCGCGCGGAGGAGGAGTTGCACCCACGTAGGTTCTGCCCTGTTTTGCCGGGCGACGAAAAATGCTTCGCCGCGGCGACGAGCCTAGGACAAAATTTCTGAGTTTTCTAGAGAATTCTTCTTTTGGGACACAATGACCATTCTACCCCTAATTAGTAGGAAAAGTGGGGGTAAAATGAAAGGAAATTTAGTAGAGATTGTGTTTGAATGGGGGTGTAGTTGTAAAGAATCAAAGGATATAGATGGAATTTCCAAGGAAGGACAAGGGCAAAATGGGAAATGAAGCTTATAATATGAACTAAAAAGAGTAAAGTGTAGAGAAGCCTTATTTCATTTCATTCCACCGCCTCTTCCATTTGCCCATATTCTCTCAATTTCTCCACCCAATTTTTCAAGAGTTTAGGGATTTAAGAGGGGTTTTGTAGAGATTTCATCTAAAGCTTTCTAAGGTAAGAATTCATGCTTTAGATGTGAGTTTTCTTGTATTTATAGTGAATTCTTATTGTGTTGTTGCTGTCCTTGTGGTTGTTTTGAGTTGTAGAGAAGAGACAAGTCCACAAAAGGAAGGAAAAGTGCTAAAGAAGCCATCTTTGCACAAGGTAAGTAAATCCAACCAACTTGAGTTTAAACAACTTTTTGTGTAAGAGGTATGCATGATCAGTATGTAGTATTCTTGATGAAAATTGAATTGAGATGAGTAGCTATGTTGTAGTTGTTGGATAGATTCCATGTATAGAAGTGTTTTAATGTGTTTGAGATTGGATTTTGAGATGAAGTTTGAGAGATGTTGTGTGAATCTTTATGGGAGTGCTTTTCTTGACAGGATTATGAGTATTTGAGGGAGTTTTTCCCCATTTTGGATAGCTAGAAAAATGAAGTTTAGTAGTAATTTTCGTAGGGTGTTTATATGCACATGAGATGTTTGAGGAAATGCCTAAGTGAAATCTGCCCTATCACTGCCGTAACTTTCTAAGTAATTTTGAGTATTTTACGGTTTGAACTGGGCTGAGACAAAAACAGAGAAGATGTAGCCCTGTTTCTAACTTTGAAACGAGACCAGAACCGTAGTAATCCGAGGTGTATAGCATAAGTTATGGCCGTTTTAGTGTGACTGGTGCAGAATGACTGTTTGAGGAAATCTTGTAGTTGGCATTCATTAGTGCATTAGGAGCATGAGATAGCTCTACACCTTTGTTTATACTTGAGAAGTAGCTTGAGATTTAGTATAGAATGTGAGTATAAGTTCTTTAAGAGTTAAGAGAATAGAGTAGGTTGTGCGATGGGAACCCGTGAGTAATGGTAGAGTATTCCCGCATGTACGCCGCATTGAGAGCGCGGCATGAGTATCAGATAGAGAAGTGGTGTGCCCGTGAGAGTGCATGCGGATGAGGGCTATACCCGAGTACCCGAGAGGAGAGAGATTATATACTCACATGGCCAAGGGTTCCGAATCCATGCATAACCGAGTCCGATCGGCTAGAGTGAATAGAGGTCACGTAGAGCGGAGTGAGTCCCGGCCGTGCCCCCGGTGAGATGGGGTCGTGATTTATGAAAGTTTGAGAAAAGAGTTCTAAGAGAAAGAGAAAGAGGAAAGAAAGACGTACCCAAGAGTATGAATGGGGAGTTGTAAGGAAAGACTTAGAGATGAGAGTTACGGGCTAGCATGAGTCGAAGGATTTACTTATTGAGCATTGTTTTAGTGCTCACCCCGTTGTTTTCCTATGTTTTGCAGGATCCAGGTGAGGATGCAGTCGGATGGATGTCGACACGCGAGGGGAAGCGGTTACACTGTCCACCATGTTTTAATAGTTTTTGTACACATTATAAGTTTGTGTAAAAATGTATATGTTTGTAAAGAATATATATACATATTTAATAAAAAGAAAATTCTGGGCCCAATTTCTTTATATTATTTCATTTATATTTTATTATGAGATTTTGAGTAGTAGTGGCTATTACAAAAGGTATGAATCAATTATCCATAGAAAGGCTTAGGGGCAAAATGGCCATTTGGCCTATGGATAAGCATTGAAAAAGTCAAGGATGAGTAGGCCTAATTGCATTTAATGGCATTAATTGAGTAATAATTATGTCTAGTGTGAAATGACCAAAATGCCCTTATATGAAGAATTAAGGACTTATGAGTTATACAATTAAAATAATTAGGCCAATAGTATAATTTTGGAAAATAAATGAAATATTTTCCTATAAATGAGATGAAATTCGTTCAAGCCAAGGGAGAGAGCATTTCTTCCATTTTCTCTCAAATCTTCCATGAAACAAGCTTTCTTTCTCTAAGTTATAAAACTCATTGATGACCTTCGCATCAAATGCCACATCAGTACCCCTCACAAACACATAACCAGATTCACACGCTGGGAGGTTGGCATAAAACTCTCGCACTATCGGCTCTACAGCCGCATGTGCAGGTGCACTCATAAATAATTCCCAACGTCTCCCTCGACTCCAATCCT